ATGAGAAATATGCCAGTCACTAAAAGATAAAAGCTGCATGAACTTAATATGTAAGAGATGTCTAACAGTAATTCTAAAGGGGGCCAGATAATATAGTATAGTGATGATCATGAGAGCTTGGGAGATGGGGAGACAGACAGAAAAGTGTTCCGTGCGTACAAGTCCTCATTTGTGTTAGATAAATAGTTCCAAAGATATTCTATATATTCTCCTGTAATTTTAAATATCATCTTGTGTGCTTCAAAATCTAAGATGGTAGGTACTACATTAAGTATTCTTATCACCAAAAAAAAGGTACAAGTAACTTTGGGCGATGGCAAATACATCAGTTACTTTTTTAGTGGCGGTGATATCATGCGTTTGCATATATCCAAATTATCAAATTGCACATGTTCTTTTTTTATCAAGTCTGTCTCAGTTAACATTTAAGATATACTTTTATTAAATTGTTTTTCTGTTTTACTTATGATTTACTGAAATATAAGATGTATCTGAGAAAGGAAAGCTAAGACAATAGACGCAAGGGGGTTATTTGAATATTCTCCACCATGGACAAAAGCATGCAAACAGGTGACTGAACAGAGCAGAAGAGAAGGCAATGGATTTGAGTGCATACCAGAACAGGGCATTAGGGAGAATGATTAATAAAACTGATGGGAGCTTCACATTTATAGCCAGAGCTATCTTAAATGAGAAAAGATGATGTGAATTCTGTTATGGGGACAGATATTTCTGAGAGAGCTTTGTGAGTATCAAGGAGTAAAACAAAATATTTTAATAGTGAAAAGATTTAGAAATATTAGAGGATGTTGTCTTATACTGTTTTGTGTTGGTGTACAGAATACTAGGGTCAGATAATGACCAGAAAATTACTTGACTTATGTTTTTGTAGGCTGAAAAGTTTAATATCAAACGCACAGGTAATATACACAGAGAAGAACAGAAAACAATATGGTATAAGAGCATCGGACTGTAGTGGGAGTTGGGCAAGTGAAATTGGTTAGAACCACATACCTGCTGATAGAAACACAATAATTGAGCAATAGGTTAAGGGGATTTTGTGTCAGGGACTAGTATTTCCTGGGCAATATTGTGACTGACAAGAATCACAGCAAAATGCCATATTGTCTATGAAAAGATTGTGAAATATAGGGGTTGAAGAGATGGCTCGTACATTTCAGAATACTCACTGCTCTTAGAAAAACCTGGGTTTGGTTTCCAGCTCTCACATGGGGTTTAGCAAGTTTCTTAACTCCAGTTCCAAGTGATTCACTGCCTACTTCTGACTTTAGTGGGCATTGCATGACATGTGTGCACCTACATGCAGGTAATTTACTCATACACATAAAATTAAAATGACAGGAAAATATTTATTTATTTATTTGTTTTGGTATTTTTGAAACAGGGTATCCCTGTGCCCAAGCTGTCCTGGATCTCACTGTGTAGATCAGGCTGGCCTTGAACTCACAAAGATCTGCCTGCCTCTGCCTCCCAAGTGCTGGGATTAAAGGTGTGTGCCACCACGCCTGGCCAGAAAAATATATCTTAAAGTTTAAAGAGTCTGAAATGTAGAAGGATGTGTATCTCAGTTTGTTCAATGATGGTATAACAAAATACTATGGACTGGTAATGTGTAACTATTAAGTATTTATTTGACTCAACTTTATGCAGGCAGATAAGATAAAGGTAGACATGTCACATCTGGTTAATTCATTTTTGCTGCATGTCATCATAGTGAAAGGCTGAAAGAGAACATACTCATGTACAAATTCCCTACACATGATGACTAATGAACTCTCATAACATCAATAATCTGTTTGGCTCATGACAAACTTTCATGTCCAAGTTTCTTACTATGTTGTGGCAGGAGTTAATTTCCCAGCACCTGAAATTTGAAAGGTATATTTTCTTTGCAATACTATGGAAGTCCAGTTTCTTTAGTAGAGATATATGTTCTAGAGATATATTTAAGTAAATTACATATTTATAATGATGTATTTATATTTATGTATAGGGGTACTTTGCCTGAATGTATGTATGCACAAGAAGTATGTGCCTGGTACTCAAGGAGGAAAGAAGACATTTCAAAGATCATGTTGACCTGCTGTGTTTGTGTTGGAAACCAAACCTGGGTCCTGGGCAAGGGCAGTAAATATTCTTAATAGCTTAGTCTCTTCACCAGCCCTATAAAAAGATTTTTAAAGGTAATAATTAGAAAATATGAAATCTAGGTATACCAAATGATAAGTGCTTGTTTTTAACATGTGCAAAAATATCAAGTTACATTCTGAAACTTCTTTAACATATAAAATTGGACCAGAATGAGAACAGCTGTCCTCTGTGTAAGATATGTGAACTGTATGATTCTGTTATAACTTGGTTCTTATCTTTTTCTCTGTGACATATTTGTGTTAATTCTTATGGATTATATGAGAATGTTGTTAAATTAATTATTTTAGCTATAGCTATCAGGTTTACTCAATATCATTCATTAA